TATATATAATAAATATAAATATATATATATATATTTATATATATATTTATATCTATATCTACTTCTACATATACATCTTTGAATACATATATATATAGCGTAGACACTTTGTGCAGACCATGTGTCGTCGTAGTATAGTACAATCAGTGAGGCTTGTTTAATGGTGTGTGTGTGGGACTTGTGATGAAGTACATCCTTAGTTTTCATGGGTGCGTGTGCCTTGTGGGGCTTTAAGTATATGTATATTCATATCCGCATACACTCAAATACCAATATACATTGCGTAGAAGTGCTCTATACGAGTGTTCCCGAATTTGACGTATATAAGAGGGGGCTGCGATTGCGTTGCACAGTTTAATCAACCTTCTGGATAGCTACACATAGCACGTATCTACTCAACCCGCAACACATCTGTGATGAGTCCTATTTTTATCAATAGGGGTCTGTTTGTTCTTCTACTAAATACATCTTCCTGACCCGGTTCTTGTCAGTCTGAGACCTTTTATTCGTATAGTTCGCATGAACCTAATAAGCCATCCCATCGCTTGGGTTGTCGTCACCTAAAGTTCTTTGCCACTGCTCTCCCTCATACTCCCACCCGTCTGGACTCGCTCAGCCAAGTCTTGGCCAGATATCAAGGAACTTCCTGAAGCAGGTAGGCTGCAGAGCTACGCCCACCACAAGTCTCACATGCTCATCTCTTCCATCAAGAACAACCCGTACTATGTGCGTGATGCCATGCCAAAGGAGTAAGTGTGCTGTCTGTGTAGTGAGAGTGTTGTCTGTGTAGTGAGAGTGCTGTCTGTGTAGCAACTGTAATGTCTGTGTCTGGCCAGTAGTGCGCTAGTACGTCTACCAGCGTCTCTATTGGCAGGTCTATTATATGCAAGTGTGAACATGTGCGTATTCAGGCTGGGAGTACGTACACGACACATTGTTTTATGGTTTAGGGTTTAGAGTTTAAGGTTTAGTAAGCTATACAAGCGTCTCTACTTGTAATTATTTTCGAAGCGATAGCTCCACCTTAGGCAAGTATGTCAAGACACGTATTCGTCTCAGTTCATTTGGTACATGTAACTATTCTTTAACTTGTCTTATTATATTTGCTTGTACTTTGTTGCAGAGCGTACGACCTACTGGTGCCAATGCTGGAACTGAACCCCGTCCGCCGATACACCTGTGTGGAAGCCCTCAACTGCAAGTACTTCAAGCAAGAGCCGAGCCCAAAGGCAAAGTATGACACCCACTGCGAGGAAGCTCGAGAGAGTTTATATTTATTTATTTATATA